TTTTATTTATTTTATTTATTTTATTTATTTTACCTTTTACTGAAAAACACCTCTCTCCAGGTTTCAATCTTGGCTTTGGTTTGTGTTGCCAATTTGTCGATACGTGAGCGATCAGGTACAGTGTGGCAGTTATTGTGAGACTGAGCACCTCGGCGATCAGTCCCGTGGCTGTGTAAGGGGCTAGGTACGAGTAAAGACAAGAAGTGTCCCCATCACATTCTATTTTCCCGTCACTCAGTTTTTTCTTATGCCTTCATCATGCCCAAAACGCGGCGATTACTGAACGAGGGTAGCGAAGGATCTACTATACAGGGTAGATAGCCTGTCAACTAGGTAAGGAAACGGGAGGCAAAAGGTAAAGCTCTATCATTGACTGGATAGTAGAACAAATACAAAGAAGATTGATTCTTGTCCCTTTTTCCTATGCCTTCAGCAGCGCTTAAATAGCTTAAGAATCCTCCTCTTTTAGGAAGTTCTTTCCCTTAGAATCCCAACCGAATAGTCGGTGAATCTCTTTATTAGAAAAAGGGCCAAAAAGTCAAGGCGTTAATCTCCCTAAGGCTGGTTCAGAACTGCAAAGGGAGCTGGGGTGTATGCAGGTGGAGCAGGGGTTAGGAGGCCCGGGGGTTCTGTATGTCCTACGGGCCGATTCTCCATCGGCTCCGTGACAACGAGGAGCTAACTTATTCCGCTGCGAAGGACAGAGAAGTCAACATCCTACATCAGCTCAATTATCACCAGTGATTACCTACCACCAGTGACTACCTGGCGTCGGTGATCATATGGGCTTTTGGAAAAGCAATTGTCAAAGTGGTAGTGAGATTATTCGTAGGAGTACGATTAGCCTGGTGCCTAAAGCATGGTGGATAATGGCGAAGGCTCATTATAGAATTGGTAGAATTGCCGAGCCCTAAACTCTTGTCCTCCATCATTTTCTGTTACTACTATTCCTCCACGTCTCATAAATTTTAGGTCATGTAGTCTTCTACGTGCCTTAATTTGAATCTAAACATTAAATGGGCACCACCTTTAAATTACATCCCTAAGTCATCTCCAGGTATGTAGACTTGGTCTCTGGGTTGGCTACAGACAAATGCATCTATGTTTCTATTTTCAAGTAAGATCTGATTTTGCGATACGAAGTCTGATGTTCTTGGAAGCATATGATCTGACTGCCCGCCGTGATTCACCAAGCCCACCGTGGTGTTCCTCGACACGACCTCAAGTCCAGTATTTCATCATCTATGCTGCGGTCCAATAATTTTGGGAGCCAATGAGTCTTGTGTTTGGGGTTATCTGATTGGAAGTCTGTCACTTTAATTTCATATACAATGATTGATGGGCTTCATGTATTGGTGGCGCCCCATTTATGAGGCACTAGCATTCACAGGGTTGCCGCAGGATAGGTTATTGGACCGCTGCGGTCTCCATAGTGGATCACAGGCTAGGGAGAAATTTCATTAGGCCTGAGGCTGACTTCGCTACCATTAAGCCGATTCGTGAAAGAGCTGAGCGGCCACGGAGTTCAGCCGACGCATTGGAGACAAGACTTGTAAATTTAGTAATAATAACAAGCCAGCGATCTTATGGGTCTACTAACCCGTTGCATAAATATTTATAAGTTCTCCCAAGACCTAATTGTATGAAAAATTCATAATTCTCAACGTTACACCAACACTCTATTTTCACAAAGACAATTGATTGGCTAAAGCCTACCCACCACTGGAATACCTGCTAAGTCAGAAAGTTGTTTTTAGAGCAGTTGAACTAATCGAAGGTCGCTAGGTTACTCTATTTGCCAGCGCGAATGGACCCATACAACATTTTCGCAATTTTAAACCACTACAGAAAGGTGTCTTTCGCCCTTGCATCATCTCCTCATTCTATTCGTCTGCTAAAGGACATTTACACTTTTCGCTTTAAATTCATGTAGACTGATTGGCTAGTTGGGTTTTATCAGTCTAACATCACCTTCGCAATCAAAAATTCCGCACATCATGCGTGATACTGTCTTTTGTGTTTTAATTTTGTTCAAAGTTGTTTAAAACGGTGCTGTGGTAATTTATTTTGAGGGCTCGGAATTAATTTGCGCAAAAGGATGATAGTTACCTCCACAATCTGCGTTATCTTGGACTGGTAAGCAGAGGAGTTCGTTAAAGAGGTTGTCCTCCTTTCCTCGGCGAGTTGTAAATCCGATCCCGACCACTCGTGACGCTTATATTTCGCGCCCTTCCCTTCAAGGCGCGATTGGAAGTTTTCTTGTGCATTAATGGTTAAAGTATCATTTTCCGATGTCAGAACATGACTTCTTCCCTCAGATTAGGCCAGTGCCTTCGCGGTCAGAATGGAATATACACTGTCGGCAAACAATTGCAGGAAACGGTTTGGGTGGCAAGGTATGAAGCTACTGCAAATTTCATGGAAGCTCCGCTTATAACAGTTCCGTATAGCAAATCTGGAAGCAATCAACCAGTGATTGTGAAAAGTGTCGATCATTTTCGCCTTCAGAATGAGCGTGATATTCTTAACTGCTTTCAATCCCGCACCCCCTTCATACGCCCCTTAGTCGACGAGATTATTGAGCCATCAAATCCACCCGCTATAGTCTTGAAATATTTAGACGATCACCTTCTCAACGCCTCAGTCTCTAAACGACTTACAAGTCAGGAAATTAGATATGTTGCAAGAAGGATTTTGGAAGCCCTGAAGGTTCTACATGAAAATAATTTTGTCCATACAGGTACGTGCAATTAATCTAAATAAAGTACATTCGCTTATACTTCTTGAAGACATCAAGCCCGACAACGTTCTGGTAAACTATGGCCAAGGGAATGTACGGTTTACAGATGTCCAACTTGCAGACTGTGGAAATACAGTTCCTGCGGATTCAGCGTATGCCAAAGATAGTGACTTGATTGGAGCACCTATATGGAGAAGTCCTGAAGCACAGCTCCGAATTGGCTGGGGCACGCCAACGGACATATGGTCTTTTGGCGCATTGGTACGTCTTTGTATTAATTTCTCGATGATGCTGAGCTATTCTGACCTTGCTCCAGCTTATAACCTTACTCTATGGAGACAATTTCTTCATTTTTAAACCAGATGTTCCCGCAGATCATGATGATTATGAGTTAAAGATTCTTCAGAGACAGTGTGAGTTCTTTGGGCCATTCCCTTTGACATACCGCGAAATCTGCCCTCAGGAAACATTGAATATTTTGGCATATATTATGAAAAGCATTCCTCCCGAAAAGAAAAAGCCATTTACAAGGATTTCGGAAAAGGAGATCTCTAGAGAGGACAAGGAATTCATTCTCAAAATTATGAAACTTGACCCAAGGGACAGACCGTCAGCAGCAGATCTTTTGCAGGACAAGTGGCTTTGTTAGAGGCCCATCCTAACAGCACGAACCTGATAAAGGACTCAGCTTGGTGCTGGTCCTATCAAGGGCGATAAAACACCTAGTCACATTTCTTCACACTTCTATAACCCCTGAATTCCTGTTCAACAATTCCTTTTTTACCTACGGTATATGTATATTGGATTAATCTATCAGTATTGCATACAATGAACAGAGTTTTAAACTTACTTTTTGGTTACATACTGTTGCTGGCGACACTTCTGCCCTTCATAAAGCTCTACAACAATTAGGCTGCGGCATAGAGGGTTGAGGGTAGCATTTTCCGGATTAAATATACCTAATTTGGTAATTTTATGCCTGAGTTTCTAGGATAACAATCAGGCTCCCAGGCAAGACCCTCAGGCCACAATAGAGGGTCGAAATCGAGGTTCCTGCCACAGTCAGCACCACATTCTGAATTGAAGCTGTGTGCTAGACATTCTGGAGCCTTCAGCCACGAAGCCAAGCCAACTGATCCAATTGGCTGGGCCAAGGAACCATGCCACTCTATCTCACAAGAAGGCGCAACAACAGACGCTCAAACGTCATAGGTCTTTTTAGAACGTTCGAAGAGAATAGAGTGTAGATGTCAAAAAGAATGAAGGAAAATGGCCATCACTCACAAGAGTGGTCTATCAACGTTTCAGAGGGGACATAATCGCGATGTAATTACATGTGCCAGTGAAATGAAACCTCCAGACATCGGAGGATTGTTCTCTCTTCTGCCAAACATTTGCTAGACTTGGGCATAACTCTCCATAACTAATACTAACTGGTAAATTGGACATTTCCTAGCTCAGGAAACTCGTTCATAAAGCTCATCATGCTAAATTTGTATTCCACGTTCAAAAGGTGTCCACCTGAATATTAAAACCAAATTACATCCTAAAGCCGTATATATCTATTTCATTGCCAATTTGATAGGTTCTGTTCTGAGAATCCATAGACATCTCTTTGAGAAAGATAGATATTCGCTAATTACGGACCTTCTTGAGCCTCCTTTGACAAGAACAATCGGAATTTCATGATGCAAGGAGCTGATTTTCTTCATGAACAATTTTATACACATCAAAGTAGGTGAACTTCCGGAAATTGAAGGCAGATTTAATTTATGTTGCAGATTTAAACAAGAAGTTACTAGGAAGCTCCCTGAATACATGGTGTCAGTCTAAGCGTTTGAAGATTGTTCAATTCTTCACCCTACTTAGAAGGCCGACCGATACGCAAAGGCGCTCCACACATCAAGCTATGAATAATGGAAAAACAAGGGTTGTGAGCAGGCAACCTCCTTCAAGACTTAGGCCTCGGGAAAAAGCATGTCGGGACGGTTTCTCCTTGATCCTTGGCTACCAGATATGTGACGTGGTGCAGTCCGCCAATAGTGTACTGAAGACAGTGCTAACCGATACATTAGGTGGTGAAATGGTCGCGCGATTATTTTAGGATCAGTGAATTGGCAGACCAGCGAACCCGTTTTCGAAAAGTGTGCCGTCAGCATTCTGTAAATGGCGCCCATTGCAACGACTCTGCACGATATTATAGCTCACTAACCCACGAGGGATCGGTACTTTGCGACGAAAAGTTGTCCAGTGCCCCTCTTGCAGAAAATCTATATTTTATCAAGGATAAAGGAGTGAGAAATCTGCAGCCTACGCCAATAGCCGGGGGAAAGCCTTGGGACCAGCTGTCTCAAACACGATCCGCACTCCTTGGGACATGGTCGCTTCAACTGGGAGAAACGGTTGAAGTGAATCTGGGTCAGGAAGGAAGAGGGCATACGAAAGTATCTGATATCCGTCACCTGGATAATAGACGCTTTGGTGTAGTCTATACATGGCTATACACTCGGAAGGATATCATTTCGGAGTTCCTACTAGATGGCAAGCTTCCCAGGGAAAAGCAACATCACATCAATCAGAGCTGGCCCCATGACACTCAGTACAGATATATGGTTACTAGGTTAGTACCAATCGGTCCATCACCCTCTGGGACACGGCCATTAGACCAGTTGCGAAACACATGCTCAATGAGACATGTCAGAAATTTGTGTACCGCACCACATCATGTGAGAAGGATAAGACCTATTCACGACAGGTTAATAAAATGGATGAAAAAGATGTGTTACAGACCCTTGTCTAGCACACCTTATCGAAGGCGGACACACAAGGCGGAATATCATAGGATGACGATAGCCGATTACGGGATGGCTAGCACCCGAAGGATTATTCTTTTATGTTATTAACCAATTGGTGTTAAGAGGGCTGATACCAGCTAGATTTTAAGTCACGTGCAGCGTAGCAGTGACACAGCCAAGCGTATCAACGACACGAGGCCGTAGTACTGTAGTACTGAGGAGTTGTGCGCCGCATGCGCCCAGTAACAGTGGTCCACGTTGCGGTAGACGGGTCGCAGTCAAGTATACCTTGGTAAAAGCTCCAAATGAATAAGGGGACACATTTAGTAGCACTTCAATACCGTTGGGAGACAGCGAAGATAGCAAAACCAGGTAGGTGCCACATCATCTTCTATCACATACCAAGAAACCCAATGCTCGATTTTGCAGAGGTAGGATTGAATAGAAGCGACCAGCAAACCAACTCGTGTTATAAAAAAAGAGAAATCACTTATGCGAGCTGGGTATGGCCTGCAATACCCGATAGTACATTTAGATTCGAGTTAGCATTACATATAAGCTACGTCGGATTTCAACCGAGGTGTGAGAGGTATTGCTCCGAACTTCTTTAATCAGTTCACCTTTAACCTATCTTTCGGTTCTAGTAATATTACAGTAGATAGCTTTTGTCTACGTTATTGGTTGCTGATATTGCTTACAGATGTCTCTAAATACACAGTTTATACAGTACATCATCCTATCTTGGCAATAAATGTCACGCTCTTCGGACATTTACCATTCCCATCGCACAATAAATATATTTTGTAATCATAATATCACTTTATCTTAAGCTCAAAGGGGTGAAACCATAGCTTCTTCACCATTATTTGCCTTTCTGTCAAGAGTTCTGAAGGCCAAATGCCAATGTATATACCATGGTCCAAAAATTCGCGACTTGCCCTGTTTAAAGACCCATCCTTCAGAAATACCTTCAGCAGTCCTAGTAAGATTCTTGATTTCTTCGTGCGTTCGTGTGCGAAGCATTGACACAAAACCATCAATGCCCAGGGCCACCCAGATCACAAACATAAGGCACATTTGCAAGAGAGATCCTTGGAGTAGTGCGTGCACGAAGGGTAGTGGAGAAATAGTAGTCACACACCAGAACAAGAACGTGGTGAGATCTCTTTGGAGGAACTCAAAAATTCTATAGCAACGTTAGTCCGGGTTTCTGGATGTCTTGTTGCAAGACATACATATATGCATCTGTAAACTGCATCGCACTGTGCAAAACCTTTTTGGCGGAAGCATCATTGAAATGATGAAACGAAATGTTAAATATCCGGCACTCCTTGCCAGATGTAACTTTTCCCAGCTCTGCCGCATCGACAGAGTCCTGGATAAAGGAAATATTTTTCTGCTCTTTCTTAATAGCCTTCCATTCCTCCACACGGGGCTTGATATCAGCCAAGATGAATTGCACCGAATGACTGTATTCGGTTCCAAGAGCTTTCTCAATGGCCGGGATAGGACCCCCCGCTCCGGCACAGGAGTCGACAAAAGTATATAAAGAAGCGTCCGGGAGGTTCTCAAGGATGATATTTGCAGCAGCCTCGGCGGCAGTGTGTCTCACGGCAGGAATGCGGAAATTCCAGAGTGCAGTCAAATAGGTTTGAATGAATTTTACCACAAATTCAGGGCACCAGGACTGATCTTCTATCTCAAACAGATGGAAGCGAGGAAAAAGAGCCATGTTGAGTAATGGTACTGTAGGGTCGAGTCTGCTTAGATGTCCTTGAACTTCTCACTTGCTTTATAAATATGTATTCTAGTATTGATATACTGCACAAACTCAAGCATATATTACAGTTTACAATGTACAGTTGCAAGTCAGTTGTCTGAACTGCCTTGACATCATGTTACAAAGCTACTCTTTACTGTGTGCGAGAATTGTTCGACAGATACAGTGCCTTCCCTACCAAAATTCTTTTGGTTCTAAAATTCCAGAAGTGGGGACACTTTGCCATACGGTTAGAGAGGATGTTGATAGGTGGAGAAGACTTGCAAGGCACTGTAGTATTTTTCGCAAATTGTTTATATGATGAACGGTTTGCGGAAAGAGTGTGCGTGCAGATTAGCATTTGTTCGCATACGCTACTCTTGGTGGACCTAACTAGGCATTGCCTTCAGGCGGCATTGTGCGGCGGGCCCATCCGACTAACAGTCGATGTGATTGGCTATGTGACGATCATACTGTGCTTTGTCAATATCACACAGTAGAAGAATCACCCAACGAGAGTATCATGAGCACGCAGATCTTGTGCATTTGAACAGACAAGTTAATGTCTGAGAGAGCAATCAAATTTTAGAAGAGACAGACTCAGAGGATCACTAAGGAAAAAAGAATAGAGATGGAAAGAATAAACATCAATCTTACTGGAAGACTACGTTATTACCCGTTGCACAAAGTACTCAAAGCAGTGTCTTCACAGACAGTGTCTATTGACGTTTTTGACACTGTAAAATACGTTCAACGGCATCCTCTAGTCCTATGCCTTGTCCAATGTCTTGTTCAACGATAATGGTGGTGATGTCTGATCATAAAGGGCAGTCCTGATACTTTCTTTTTTCTGGATTGATTTAAGATCGTGAACCCTCGAATATGTTTGAGCAGTGGACCATTGAGCGGCGGCATTGCAAGGTCTCATGCAGTCGAAGTTGTTTGAACTTCACACCGCACCGAAAGAAAAAAAAGTACGAAATTGCCAAGCATAACGGGAATGAAAAGACCAACCACAGTCCGTAGCACGAAAGGTTTAGCAACCGGAAAAGGCCGACCGCTTGTGGTGAGGTGTTCAACAGGGCATTAGTTTTCTCCTCTTTGATTGTCTCCTGTGTTTTTTCCTTCCCCACTTTTTCAGCTACCCAATCAATTCCCCTGTAATATTCAGCCCTTTCCAAATACGTCTTCCCTGCGGTATCCCGAAGGGAAGTATTTGCTCCTCTTTGGACCAGGGTTTGGAATACACCTTTTTGACAACCCCAGATGGCGTGCCATAAAGCTGTATTCCCAAAAATATCGGTTTTATCAATATTTGCGCCTCTATCAAGGAGGATATTAACGATAT